CTCTCCCCTCTCCTTCTTCACTGACCTTGGTATTGTCACAAATTCTCACTCCTCCATCTCTGTGCCAGGTGTAGTTGCCACAGTTCTTCTTCCCTGTTCTTAAATATGTTATCACAGAGGCGTTCCTCTCCTATCACTTTACTGATAGGCTCAGCCTTGGTGCAGCAGCGAGTCCGTCTTTGGAGTCGCTGGCTTTGGCTCTGTCAGATTCAGGAAGCTTCTAGCAGCTTCTTGCAGAAGCCACCCTGCAGCTCCCCCCCCACCACTGCCAAAATCCGGCCAGGCCATCCCAATGCACAGTGTTTTGTTACTATGTAGAGTACTATAGATTGCTGCCTAGTGTTGTTTTCTGTGTTAGTAATGTTTCCTGTATTAAAAATACTTTTTTTTTAAATCTTACTGTGAAGTATAACGTTTAAGTGCCATCGGACTAAACCATCTATAAAATCTTTTTATTAATTTGGGAATATGAATACAGAAGAGTATGATATTGCTTTGGATCCTTGTGGAAAATACCAACAGTACAGGCGTGTTTCTTGAGGGTGAGAGTAGAGGCAATTTGTGACTGTGCCGCAGTAAGCAGGGCACAGCCAGGAGTTGGTCGGGTGGGATTCTAGCCTTGCGGTGTGGCACCCAGATATTTATGTGTGTTGATCTTAGACTTGGCTGCTCTAATGTCACTTGCTTGTTTGAACTGTAATCTTTTGGCATAGGTAGTGTGTAGCACTGAGGGAGTCTGTTGTTACCTAGTGCTGGGTCCATGCTCAGGGACACTGACTTAAGTGTATCTAATGTGCGAACTAGGATGAAAGAGGTTCTAGAATGGTGTACAAAGATAATTTATTAGCATGAGTGCAATGCTTACTTTTCGTAATGTATCTTTTGTGTGTCTTTGAAGAAGATGGTATGAGATAGATGGTGACTGTAGGAATTTTTGATTCTAAATGTTTTTCTTTGTTAAATAATCAAAAACTCAAGTATAATGTTCTGTTTGACTTTGACTGTTAAAATTCCTTACCTGCAGAAGAGTACACATAAAGGAGATGAGGGGGAAAGCGTACACATAAAGGAGATGATCTTATTTGATGTAGTTATAGTGACAGGCTTTCACTGTCTTTTAAAAGCAGTCTGAGTTCTTGAGAATAAGAGTAGTGAACTTTTTTTGAGGGGGAGGAATTTACATGCATTTCCTTCCTCGGGAATTAATGGGAGTATAGGTGTCCACTTAAATCGTTTGTGTGATGTCCAGTTATATATATGAAAACTTTAAAACCATCAGGAATTTTAAACTCAAAATTACTGTTCATACTACTGTGAGCATAAAATACCTTAGACACTACCTTCTGAAAATTTAGCCTGTAATGTGAAAATGTCCCTTCTTCCACAGCTAAATTCTAGTCATAGGAAGTTGTCAAGGAGCAAACATACATATGTATTACGTGATTTCTGCATGGAAGCAAAAGGAGAAAGGATATACAACACTTCCATAAGCATGTATTTAAGTATGACAACAAATCTCCTTTTCACATTTGTATTTCAGGAAAATCAGGTGCATCTGCTGAAACTCTTTTGGATCAGGAATGTATAAAACCTATGAATTACTCAAGCCAGCTGGAAGACTCTGGGTGTGATGTCTCTACTGACTATGCCTTTGATTCTTTAGGCATAGCTTCTGATTTTCACCAATCTGAGCATAATGTTGACCGTACTAAACACTGGTCGGAAAGAGTTCCTTCACTGAATCTTTGCTGTACTAGCAAGGAGGAATCTGTGACTGCTCCACTACACTTTTTGCGACATCTGCTTGAAATACGAAAACTGGCCGAAGGAGGAATTCTTCAAGCAGACTTCGCAGAGCTTGAGAGTGATTCTTTCAGCATATGCCATTCGGTGTCTCAGTTGCTTGATGGACTGACTTTTTTTTACAAGAGTCCTAAATTTCCAGTTCCCAACTATCTTACTGAAGCAACTTGTGTTTTGAGCAGTTTATTAACTGATAGTAAATTATCTAATCATGTTTTGAAGAAATGTTTCAAGAAGCTGGAAGAATTTAGTAAAAATCTGATTCAGATTATTTCAAGGAACAGCAATATCAACAGGGTAAGTTTAAAACATCTTTCCTACACCATTTCAGTATATGGTAATATTCTCTTGTTTTTATGTGCTTCAAAAAATGTTAGTTTTACTATATTTTGAAAAATGCTTCTCAGAGATTTTTGTGCTTGTTCTTTTTTGGTTCTTTGATATGAATGATAAGTGCTCTGAAGCATTTGCTCATGCATGTGAGTTCTAGTCTATTCATGAGTATAAGACTTTTAAAAATTTAAAAAGGCAGATAAAAAAACTATAGAAAATGTGAGACAAAACCACATTTTTTTCTCTTTGCTATATGAAGATTTGTTGGAGGTATTCAGTAAGTAATGACTATACAATTCTTTTATTCTTTTTTGTGCACCTAGATTAAATAGGTTGGTTTGCTTCAGATCTCTGTCACTCTCTAGAAATTTTCAAATTTGTGTTTTCAAAATAAATTGACATGAAGAATGAAGAATTCAGAAGTAGCATGTCCTCGGCACAAACAGCAACTAAGACTGAACCACATTTTGTCATCATTCTACATGGTTCCGTACATCATCTTGTTAGTTTCTTCCTTCAGCTGAAGTGTCCCTAGTCTGTCTTCACAAGACTTCCCATAAGTAATGAATTCCGTTGTCTGTCTTAGGATTTTTGGTTTTCATTCTGTCTTTTAAAGTAACTTGGAACAGACATGATGGTGGAATTTTTTGAGACTGAGATGTGCCAATTTAGTGTCTACATGTGTGTAGCTACACCACCATTATAGTAAATGAAGATCATATCCCTATAATCCATGGAGCCTAAAGAATGCTGACCAGGTACTAGGTCCCTATTTTAGGATGAGCTCGAAAGTTGCCTTTAGCAAAACAAGAGCCTAGAAGTCTGCTACAGCTGTGGGCAGATGTATCCATTTGTCTAAACTTAAAATTAATCCCACTCACTGTGTGTTCAGTGTTTACCCCAGAATGTAAATATCAAACATATATTATTACCAAACTCGGTGGGAGTGGATATCCACTGCATTTTGGTTAGAAAGCAGAAAATCTTCATATACTGAAGCTTTACCAGGACTAGAGTTGTGAGTCTCTAATACCAGGGTGCTTTCTATTTCAGTGTCACCATGGTGTGATATTTAGTTTATAATTAGAGGCATCCCTGACCGTTGTTTTCAAAGTATGTACGCATACATACCAGTTGTGTGGTGTCCGAAATAGAGTCATGCAGGTGTGACGACTTTTACTTTTTCATGTGATAACAATGTACAGAACAAAGAAAACTTGAGCAGGTGTTCATAAAGGACTTCTTCATAGTTGATGATGTCCAATGTTTCCACCTGTTCACCTCCTCTACTCAAATTGCAAGTTAATAAATAATTAAAATAATGTTAATTGTAGAAGAGCAGCCAAGGACTTAATCAGAGAGAGATTATTTGTTGATTGGAGGAACGTGGCAAAGCTTAATGAGATGTGTCACATCTTAAATGAGAGAGAAGTATCTTAACAGATCAGGGATGTTTCAAATCTGCAAAGTGCTTGTATAAATCTTTCAGGAAGAATGTAGTTGTCCAATTTCCAAGTGGCATCTTTTCTCTGAATAACTTTGCTGAAGCAGATGGCTTTTTACGAGATGTTTTATATCTTGCTTATACCAAAATATTGACTTAACAGTTATTCCTATTGGCAGCCATTACTTCAATCAAACAGATTCAAAGAGTTTAAAAATTGTATAAACCAGTTATTAAGGGATAATAGTTGTCATTTCCAGATTTTTAGGGAAAAAGGGAGAATGGTGTGTGCATTAACCGCAGCGTTTATAAAGATTTATTGAAAAGTCCTTTACAGAGATTTGATTTCTTTTAAACTGAATTGAATATGGAAATAAATATGTAGAATTCAGAATTAGTAGTGGAAATTGTGTAACTAATTCTTCGCGTGCTGTATACCAGATATCTCCCAGGGACACTTTACGCTTCAGTTTTAATCATCACTGTTTACTCAAGTGGTGATTGAAATATCAAGATTATAGGTTTAAAATAAAATTACCATTAATTACAAGGCTGTCATCTGGAAAAAGTAGCACACTGTATGAATTTTCATTCCAGGAGGATGTTTAAATCCCTCTAATATAAAAACATCAGGAATTTTGTTGTATCTAACCTTACTAACTGTCAAAAAGCATTTGTACAGACAGCCACCAATGCAGCTGTAGTATTTTACACAACTTTCCCTTTGCCATCCCCACCTATAAAACTGTCAGAAGCTGTCAAGGAGGACAAAGGGCTGTGAGAAACACCTTCAAAAAATGAAGGAAGGGAGAAGTGGCTGTGGATTACACTTAATGCCTCATCTTCAAAAATAGTCCCAGCATTTTGCAGAGAAAATTAAATAACTTGAAAATCTTTTGAGAGTTAGAAAAGAGATAATTATCTCTACGTTAGATATGAAGGAAGAAAAACAGCAGCACAATTACTTGCTGTAACTGCTGAGTCCTATTGTTTGAGATGTTTCTAATAATAAAGCACTGGAAGCTGTTGGAACCAGCCGAGACACGTACTCAGAGCTTTTCTACCTGGGTTCAGTTGCCTAAAGTTGTGCACTTTGGATAGAATTTTTGACCTGAAACTCCAAACTGACATGAGTATCAAAAGGGAAAACAATAACAAAAATCTATTATGGTACTGCAGCGTGAAGCAGAGCTAATGCATGAGTTATGTGGCAGAAGAACCTGGCCTTTCACCCTGGGTTCTATATAGAGCTGTGTGTCTGTTTCTTGGACCTCTCGTTTTAAGGAGTTAATCAAAACACTAAAAAAGAAGACAATGGTAGATTGCGTACAGGATTCTAGAATACAGCCAAGCTGTGTAGGGCTCTCAGAGGAGACTTTCTGGTTCCGCTTGAACAAATAGCTCATCCATCTGCCCCACCTCACTCGTAATCTCTTTCAGGTAAGACCCATAAGTGAGATGTGTTTCAGTAAACAGTGGCTGTTTGCTGTGTCTTGTGCTATGTTCAGAACATCAATACTGACTTTGAAGATAAGGTCAATAATCATGAATTGCCTGCTCCATTCAAATGAAGCAAAAAAAAAAAATTATGGGCTATTTATGTCCTTCTTTGTCCCGTTTGGAAATTTGCTATGCTACATTTAAGGTAGTTTCAAAATTGTTCTGCATTAATAGTATCTCAATGGATGCTGAGGCATGAATATAATTTCTAGGAACTTTTCTTATCCTATTTGGGACTTTATTGCCTGTTTTCATTTTTCTCTCATGGTCAACCTAAAAGTCTTTATGTAGAATTTTGCAAATACTTAAATATTACAGTTAATACATTTAGCAGAAAAGCAAATGTCAAAATTCTGAGTAGTAACTGAATGCCTTTACCAGATGTTTGCATGAGGAAGGATTCGCACTTCTTAATGAAAACAATAAACATAGTACAATGAAAAGCAGAAAGAGCGAAATGTTTGAATCTCATTGGCAATTATGTAATGAAATGTGTGGAAATGTACTTGTGCAATTGAAAAAGTACACATTAAAAAGAACCATAGTATTGAATTTTGTCTTACGTAGGATGCAATTTGTATTGATTGATTAATGATTGAAATTGTCTGGAAGAGAGTAACATAAACTTAGTATGATGGTCTTAATACATGCAACAGTATGCATTTAATACATGCTTCAACTAGGGGGCTACCATGAATTTCCTTAGCAGTGTCTTTTGTCAGAAATGCCAGGACAGCATTTATCTTATCAATTTACAAGAGCCTTGCCTGCTCAGGGACAAATAAGATTTCAAAATAGTTATTCATGTCACTGGTGGTTCTCAAGTATAAAATCAGTGAGCTTCAGTTTTCCTAAATTAATTGAGTCCCAAAGGGAATATTATGGCTTTTGAGACACGGTACGTTTTCATTGGACAAAGAATTTTACGTATGTAGTGGAAGAGCAGTTCATTCATAGTAATATTAAAATACGTTGCTAGGATTTTATGGTCTAGTGAGAGTCAATGTTTGAATCTCTTGATTGTTGAATTAAATTTCCACAGCAATCTGTTGTCGTTTGTAGAGAGATATTTAAGTCAAGTGGTAATCAAAATCCATTGTCTTGTAAATCACTACAGTTTAAAGCAATCACCAAAGTAAATGACTTCAGTGATGTGGGTCGTAAGAGTGACTAGACAGGAATGAAGGAAAAAAAAATTTGTCTGCCTCTAGGCTTTTGTCCAGCTTCCCTCCTCAGCAGCCCTGGTTGATACACATCATGGACTAAAGCTACAATTACTGAAGAGTTACAGGATGAAGTTGGCAGGATTTTTTTTTTACCATTATGTCAAAAAAGCTTTATTTGTGGTTTCCAACCTAACTGTAATGCTGTTTTGTCAGGACTGTCCTTTTTCCTAATAGCAAATATTATCATTGCCCTTTTTTTCCCCCAAGTAATTAACTAGTGTTTAGAGTATCACAGATTATTTCCACTAGGAGGAATGAAAAACGGGTGGAGTAGTTTTTTTCTGTTCCCTTGATTTACAAATTGAATATGTAGGTGCCCTTAATGCAAGACTAAAAGAAAAAATTATTTTTGTTGAGTATGGTAGGAAATATGTGTCAAAAGCCATTTGTTTCTTTCCTCTGTCCTCAGTCTCTCTCTCCCCTGAATGGTTTCTGTCAAAGATCTCTTAACATTCTGTAGCATCACATTAGTGGTGTCAATTTACTTCTTTGGCATCTCTGTGATACTTGTGGCTGAGACTGTGTGGAATAGAAACATCAAAGCCTGTTCCTTGATCCTTTACTTATGATGTCTGTGTAAAAGCATTTGAGTTCTATCTAGGCTTTGGATTTTTGTGGTTTTTTTTTTGGTTGCTGTTTTTTTGTTATTCTATCCATGTTATTGAACAAAAAGACCAAAAAGTGATCTATTTTTTTGATCTCAGGGATACTATAGTAGGTGGTTATTCAAAGGGATGATATGGCCACCTTAGTTCCAACACGTTATTGCTTAACCTAGTAGCTCTAATTCCATT